CGCCGCTGACCCGGAGGCCACGCAGGACTGCCTTGACCTGTGAGTGACCTGAGGATCTTCAATTGTTTTGTGGGTTTTGTTGTTGAGTTTATTTCGTAGTGTTCGTTTTGTTCTGGTCTATGAGGGTGTATATATATATATATATATATATATATATATATATATATATATATATATAGAATATATTTCGTTTTCTGTTTTTTTTCTCTCTCTCCCTTTTCCTTCTCCTTCTCCCTTCTCCCTCTTCCTCTCCCTTTCCTTCTTCCTCTTCCTCTCCCTCCCCCTCCCTCTCCCACCTCCCCCTCCTCTTAACACTAAAATCCTCCCATTCTCAGTCACCAGCTGGAACTCGCCGACGGCTCAGGCCTCAAGTACAACATCTCCACCGCCGTCGGCTTGCACACCATGTTCGTCAGGCTACCGAGCGGCCTCACCTGTGCGCACTGTGTCCTGCAGGTCAGTCGGATTCCCGTTTTCCTTTAGTTTCGATCACGTGCTCGTTTTCTGTCCATGACGCCTTCTTGCGTCCGTTTTCTATGCGTAAGATCTTGTGATCACATTTTTTATCCTCTGATCTCTCTGTTCCGTCGTTCTTGCAATCTATTACCATGAGAATAATGATAAAATAAACCGTTGATTGTGACAGTGGCGTTACGTGACGGGCAACAACTGGGGCATTTGCGAGGACGGGACGGGCATGCTGGGGTGCGGACCGCAGGAGGAATTCCGCGCCTGCGCTGACGTCACTGTTTCTCCGGCAGGCACGAGGTAAGGTCGATTTTAACAATGACAATAAAATCGATTAGTTGGTTGACTAATAGAGAGGCTTATAGTAATGGTAATAGTAAGACTAAAATCTCTAATACATATTTACGTCTAAACAGAATTACATATGATGCATGCCCTACCTATTCATCTTAATAGATCCCATTACCTTTTATAAAACGATACCCCATCTAGTCATGTTAAAATGCCAAAAAAATAAAATTAAAATAAAATAAAATTAAAATACTTTTATAAAACGATACCCAATCTAGTCATGTCAAAATACCAAAATTAAAATAAAATAAATTAAATCAAAATGCTTTTATAAAACTATACCCCATCTAGCCAAGTTAAAATGCCAAGCCACTCACAACCGCGCTTCTCCCACAGGACGCGCTGGTCATCCTTCAGCGGGTATCGTCCCATGCCCTCCGAGGACCTGGCACTCGAGCGAAGGATCCACCCCAAGTTCCAGCTTCCGGAAGGACCGAGTGCCAGCAGGATCGAGTGCCACGGCGTCGGGGAGTGGGAGGGCGTGCCCGGGGTGGCGGTGTGGTGTACCAAGAACTGCCTTGGCACGAATTACTGCCCCCCTGCCCAGTGCCGGTGTCAGTGACGTCACGGAATTAAGAGACTGGATAATTCGTATTCACACACACACACACACACACACACACACACACACACACACACACACACACACACACACACACACACACACACACACACACACACATTCCCTCCATGAACACCTTTCAACAACAGTATAAATCAGCTTTTAATACTTCGATCTCATTTCTCTTCGATTTAGGGATTTTGCAAAACATTTATGTAATTTTTATTCTTATTTAAGTAATATATTTTTTTTAGACGAAGCATAATTTGATACATTTATCTCTACCATTTTGACTGATTTTATGGTTATGTTTATCTACCTCTTTTTTAAGATTAAACGCAATCTTAAGGTTATTTATATAAGTATCTATTTAAGTATTTATGATCAGGTTTTTGAAAGAAAAATAAATGCCTTAATATTAAATAAATGTATGTATGTATAATAAATAAATCAATAAATAATTAATGAATTTATGTATGATGAATATATGTATTTTCTAATACATACCTTACGAAAATTAATGTATATTTCCTTCCGACAACAAAACGAAAAGAAATTAAACAACATTTATAAGTTTTTAAAAAATCATTAACAAACACGCAAACAAATAACTAAAACTAAAACAAAGAAATTGTAGCGCGAATTTCAAGAAAAATGGCAAATTGCAACATCAAAAGAAACAGAAAACTGGCCTTTGCAAGAACATTTTGTTCCTCTCAATGACTGTGGAGTAAGATCAGTTTTTATTCTTTATTTCTTCTTATTATCATCATTATCTACAGATTTATTTGCCTTGAGAGTGATATAAATACATCATATATGGAATCACTGGTGCTTAATGTATATCTGAAATAAAATAAATCTTGAAACTCAAAATTATCTATAAAGCAGTTTCAGTGCTAAACTACCTTTTTTTCATAATAGAATATCCGAGATTATGTTGAAAATTTGAAGTTACAAATAAGAGGGGCGTGACACCTGGGGGGGGGGGAGGTGCCTACTTGAAACTAAATATTTTAATTCGAGGGTATGGAAACTCATGCTATCATATTCGATTATTTGTAAAATCTATGTAAAATACATACAGGATAAATTGTAATAAAGAGTAAATGAACATAA